AAAAAAAAACAATATTTACGCAGCCTAATAATTTTAAAAAACTTTTTAAAGATATTTTGTTATAATCAATATGAAAAAAAAAAGCGGAAATTACGATGCATACTGCTAATGGGGTTGGTAGCGATGATCCCGATGACACAGTAACCAATTACATGCTTCTAATTTATTTTCGCCGAACTGACCAACAAGTGTATGAACCTTGTTGTCAGACACAGTATTATCTTCCGTATGCCGTTGCAATATGTTTGATTTTACTATAAAGAAATTCTTATTTTTTAATTTTTATTATTATTTTTTCGTAACTTGTGCGGTAACGTTTGTATAGCGACAGCGGGAAGGTCATTGACACTTAGTACTTTGCTTTGCGAAAAACATATGGTTTTGTAAAATACGAAACACAAAAAATGAGCCCTGTGGCTAAACTACTGGATATATTTTGTTCATATTTTCCCAAATCGCCTAGAAATTAAGGGCAGAATATGTGGCTTAAGTATTTGGGAAAGGAAATGAACTCTTGTATATCACTGTACTATGTAATGTAATTTCCCAAACTAAGTCGGAATTATTTTAAAATTTTATTGCCTTTAAATTTGCCTTCAGTTAGTAAATCCCTAAAAAATGAATACTTAAAGCAATAATGCATGTCATATTGCCAAAAACTCTAATTGTGTTAAGACATGTCTCCTCAAATAGAATATCAAAAAATAATTACACACTACAGAATAGACTTGCAACGAATAGTATATTCGGCAGTATACCGAATACCGAATATTCGGCGAGGCCCTGACCGAATAGCCGAATATTAGGCAAAAGTATTCGGCTGGATTTTAGCGCCAAAAACTTGTACAAAACGTGAATTAAATTATGTACCTGTTTATGTACCAATGACTACTTAATAAATTATTATAAAAGAAATAAGAACCTTACCCTTCTAAATTTTGATTACCACAATAATTCAAATACATAAAATCCTCCATTTTTTCCAATTCAGAAGATGATTATGTACCTGTGTTATGCACCAATGATACTTAAATGATTATCACAGAAATGAAAATATGAATATATACGTAATCAATCGATTTTAATTTTCATTTTACCAATTATTTTCTCAATGACAAAATATATTATTTAAGTATTCGGATTCGGCCGAATAATATGTGATATTCGGTATTCGGCCGAATATAATAAAAGCAGCCCCAATAGGCCCGAATACCGAATAGTAACCGAATATTCGTTGCAAGTCTACTACAGAAATAAGATCTGTTGTCAAAATATAAAATTCATAAAATGAAATGCTATTCTTGATATTTATACATTGGTATTTATCAGTTGAGCAGTTTTATTTTAATAAACATAATGTCTTCTTCTCCAGGTGGTACACAACAATCACCTTAGCAGTCTACGGTAACCCGACTCAAGTGCTGCCTGAAACCCCAGTAGGTGCTAACCCACCTCCAACTGTACAAAGACCTGCAGTTCCCGTGAGGTCGTGCCACCGCCTGCAGTAGTGGCTCAGACCCCAGAAGGCCCCAGGAAACATCAAACCCCATACCAGCTTACACTGGCAATGTAGTCACTGCTAACCCTGATGCTTATGGCCCCAGCAACTATACTGAAAAAATTATGACAGCCAAATGTACAGGGCTGACTACTATGAGTCTGAACCAGCACCTGGTCCAGGGGCCAAAAGATCCTAGAACCTACCCGCACATGGGTGAAGGTAATTGGGGTAAGAGAGATCTCAGCTGTGAAAGAGAAGGAGATAGGTTGCGTCACAGTCCCGTTTCTCTTGATCATGACAGGGATAGAGATAGACGCGATGGTAGAAAGTCGGAGGACGCTCAATTGATCGAGGCAGAAGCCGCGAGTCATCGAGGCATCGCGACAGAAGTAGGGAGTTGGATCGATTGGATCGACTTCGCTCGAGATCAAGGAGCCGCGATAGAGATTACATAGTTAAAGGAGAATATCGTCCTTTGAGCAGATCTAGATCTCGAAGTGGTGACCGCATGCGTGGATTGTCTAATGACCGCGATTGGGACAGGGGATCCTACAAAAAGGATGATTACAGGCGTCATCGCGAACTATCTTACGATCGATCTCGCGGAGGTTCTTATGATAAAGAGGCAGGCTCATATGAACGCCGGTCTCCTTATGACAAAAGAGGTCCATCTTACGAAAGAAAATTGTCTTATGAAAAACGTTTATCGCCATATGAAAAGCGCGGTCATCATATGAAAGACGTGCTCCGTCTTATGAGAAAACAGTCTGCTTATGATAGAAAACGTCACTCTCCTTACAGTCGTATTAGAGGCTCTAGCTATAGCAGGTCTCCAGCCGTGATGATCCCAGAAAAAGACCAAGAACACCTCCAGGAGAAGGTAACCGAAGGCCTTTATCGCCAAGAGATGTAGACGCATCTAGTCCTATTAACTCTATTAGATCGGAAGAAGGTGCAGAATATGACAGAAGTGGCAAGCAGATCCCAAGAGTCGATTTTTACCATCAAAGTTACAGACACAAGCCACCTATTCGTAGTCCCTCTCAAGAAGCGGAGGTTCCGCCCTATGTTGAACAACAACATTCTAGTTTGGTTACTGTTCAAATAGTAGACAATCCTACCACTAAAGTTGTCGAATCACCAAACAGGAATCAAGATGAAGACAGATCAATGGATGCTGAGCAATTCGAGCCACATTCTGTCAGATGAAGATATCTGTGATGATCTCGAAGGTTCTACCTACGCTGAAGGTGATTATGATGTAAACGATTACTGTGGAGTCGATGATATCATTAAATATTATAATCCTTTTAAATCTGAGTGGAATAAATATGAATATCTGAACAAAATTCACTACTAGGCCCTAAAAAAGAAGGAATAAAAGATGTGTTGAATGCCACTTTTGATGATCTGTGCGATGCCAGTCCTGAACTGTTTAAGATTTCTGAAATAGCTAAGTCTAACAAAAAAATTAGATCAAAAATTCTTTGCGAACACCTTTGCTGATATGACAACCCTGCCAGGGAAGAATGGGTTCATCAGTGCGAACACAACTATATGTTGCCATGACCAACCTTTGCAAAAACAACTGATATCGTGCTAAGAATTTTTACAAAACCTAATCGCAATGAGTCTGTGATGAATTTACAGAGATTTACTATCTTCTTATAACGTTCTGCAAAATTGGACTAAACTACGATTTCGCATTAGTTCAGCAACAGCTACGTACAAGATAAGGCACATGAAATGTGGGATACGTCTCGCTGAAGCGCTTATGTCACACCGACACAACGAGAAGTCACTAAAGTACTCCTTGCGTCTGGAATAGATATGTCAATGTCCTTACTAGAGATGTATTCTAAAGAATATATGGCGCTGAGCATACGTCTCATGATATTAAAGGCATTGAAACGCTTGTTTTTCTTCAAAGGAGTCAATGGAGCACTTCATGAGGGAAACAATATTTCCAAAATTCGATAAAAATGATGACCGCAAACCCAGGAACGGGTATCAAGCGTTAATATCAATGATGCAGACGAACCCATTAGCGAGGGTAAAGTTTTCGATCAGTGCTCTTATAAAAAAATTAAACATTTACGAATTGTTGCAAAAGTTATACGATTTAGTTATTAGTTTTAGTAAGTCTGTCGGCGGTGACGATGCCGATCTTTCGGAAGCAGATGCGCCATTTTATCGTGAATGCTTTAGAAGAAATTTTATATACGTATCGGGCACAGTGCTTTCACTTATCTCAACCAAAGCGGTTTCTTCCGGTCTCTGCTCAATTCGAGATTAATAAGGAGTGTTCTAATGAAATTTTACTGGAATTCTTCAGCATTCACAAGCTTTAGAAGTCTGTCTTTATCTGCTCACATGTCCCAGACCTGCAATAATTTAATCGTAGTAAGCCCGATACACGATTTAATTTACGAGTTGGTTAACTCTCATAATGGACTAAGTTTTTTATACAAAAATATGGAATTGAGTGAATTACTGTTCAAAAACGTTAACACAGCCATACAGCCAACAGAACTCCGAAGATGGATTATACCCTCATGATTTGAGTAACTACAGTGACCTTCAGATTGTGGCGCTGGAAATGGCATATAAATTAAAAGCGTTATATTATTTGGAATCGATTTGTGATTTACAGGCAGGTAAAAGTGATGAAAACGAACTCATAGACAGACTACAATCTCTTTACTGTCTTAGTTTTGGTAGTATTGGCAGAAAGCCGTGCCAGATGTAGTCGTAATGGAGGATAATGCAGAATGTCTCATGGAGGTCTTCGAGAGCGATTTGAAAACAAGGAATAAGAATGAGTCACCATTGAAGCAAAAAAATCTCCAGCGAAAGGTTACGCTATTGAGCTAATCGTGTCAGCGGTGCGATTCGCTGCAAATGTACCATTCTTGAAAAAGTACGGACAACGATTGATTAACGTATCGAGGGAACATGACAGATTTGAACCGAGCGTTTCAAGTGTTTTGCAAGAAGTTATACCATATTTGAAACCTGTTGAAAAAAAATACTGTGTGACAGGCGAAGACATGCTGAGTGTGTAGAAATATAAAGGCCAGTGCTGAACACGCCCCTGACCTGCCTGGGGAGCTAATGACATGTTTAAGGATTCTTAGACATTTCTGTATATCAGATTATGAGAATAATGTCACAATTGCTTGTGAATACTGCAACTGAAGAGTATGTTGAGCTCAAATACAAGTATAATGTTTTACAGCTATTTTCTTTAGATGGTGTCGCGCATTTGGCTGGAGTTCTGGATCGTTTAGCGACACATTTTGATCAGCCGAGCATGCACACTTCTTTCTTCGCTTCAGTAAAGGGACTACACTTGGCCCAAGTATTATTACCTTTGTTTGCGATTGCTTGATGCTATGTTGTCAAGAGTTGTTCGCTGTCGTGGACCAAGATTCCGTGATCTGACTGCAGCTCCAGTTTTGCTAAAGACTTATGGGATTGCCAAGGCTTTCCCAGTTGGTTCAGTGGGATACAGAACAGCTGCGAAAGCAGCCGAAGCGTCAGTAAGAGCTTTACTTGCGTACGCCCAGCCAATAGCAGATGACGCAAACGATGGTGATTCCATCCGACGAGGACCTTGGACTTCTCTGTGCTCTGAAGTAATATCATACATAACCACCGCACCATACACATTTGTTCTGGCTTATTAGTCTTTTCAGAGCTACTTCCTTTACCTTTGCCAATGCAGACAAAAACACCTCCGACGGAGCGAGAATTAGCTGACGCGGCAAATGAGAGACGTCTTTGTCAGCACATTTGCACGCCTTATCAAATGATTTGACAGACATGATACAGATAATCTGCATGTCTACTTATAGGCTGTTGTGCATATGCTAAGAAGAGTTTGTGTTCAAATTGCGGATTTGGCACCGAATACGGCAGCCACTGTAGCTCGGGCAGCCGTAGGAGCCGTTACAAGGGAATTAAAGCCAGGTGAACCCGCCACAGCTAGTATTGCCAGGGTACTTGGCTTTCTAGCGTGCTTAGTATCTCACGCACCAGTTAAGTGTGCTGTTCTCCATGCTATGAACAGTGGAGGACCCAGAGCAACCGATGTCCAAACTGCATTATGTTCTGTGCTAGTTTGGCAAATGCATCTAACGAACATGGTGCCGCTCAGGAGTACGCCGCACATGCTTTAGCAGCTTTCTGTGACGCTGAAATTACCTGACACCTTTAAATGGAGCTTCTGAGGTCATACTGGTTAATTCTCTGCCAAATAAAGATGCTTTGGCTGCATTTTTGGACGCGACAGCGACTGTCTCGAATCTACAACAAAGACTTGCTCAGTGGCGTCTTCAATACTTCGAGCGTATTTCGTCTTAACGGAACATGAATACGGATTCCAGCAGTTTCGAAAATTTATTTTCAAAAGACGAGAATCTCTGGGGAAATTCTTTAAATGGGCTTTAGAAGGCCAAGGGAAGATAAAGCGGAATGTTTAAGTTATATATTGACTGATCAGGAATCTTAAAAATGGAAGAAGGCGAGGTCCTTTCGGCAGGAAGGCTATGCTAACCGTGCACGAGATGGCAGATATGGTGGGATACCAGCCCACTGACGAGGATCATCCTGTTCTAAAACTTGAAAAAATATTGAGGGTAAGTCTATTCACAATAGTCGATTAAAAACTATATCAATTAATTAGCTTTGAAACAGGAAAATTTAAAATTTCTCAGCAAAGTGTTGTAAAATTCAATTGCACATTTTAGGAGAAGAATTCAGACGAAGATGCAATCGCTAACGCTCACTTCTTGACCGATCACATTCTAAAGTCAAAGACTACAGAGGAACCTGCAACGCCACCCGAAATTCAGGAACCGGTGTTGCCGGCGCCGGAAAGCCTGGTGGCGCAGTTCCAGGCCAGAACTATATACGCCATAGGAGAGGCCAGCGACGAGAGACTCACTTCCAGCTATGGCTGAACGTGCCCGCTCCGCAGGCCGCCAGCGGAGAAGACGACGGCAACGATAGCGAACTGGTGAGACTCTCCGACGCCGTTTATGGCAATTTCAATTATTAAAAGTCGGAAATCGGTGAAGGCGTTCGTAACGTTATTTATATTCGGTAGGTATCGTGCGATATAATGGAGATAGCGAACGCGTACGTGTGCGGTGGCGGCGAGGGGTGAGCGGGGCGGTGCGGCGCCTGGCGGGCTGCCTGCACGCGCGCCCGACCCCGCGCCCTGCGACGACAAGCGGCCCCCCGGTAACTATCGCCTGGCCTCTCAGCTCTATCCATATACTATAATTAAATATTCAACCTAGAATAATACGAGAATATGTTTTAATCCCATTCAGGCCTGAAACTCGGCCGTGTCTTTAAAATTTATTTTCTTCTAAAGGATTCTACGATTGGAACTGTTAACGATTGGCTTTTTCTAAGTAGCTTTTATTCCAGATAATTTCAAAATACAAAACAAAAGGATTAATAAAAAATAAATTGTTACACGTCTAGTTTCATAAATATTTTTTTTAAATCTGGAATATTATATTTTTAAATGTGATCTCATTATTTCTGTAAAAGGTAAATAATGAGATAGAGAGTACAATTACGGGTTATGTGCAGTGGCATTGTCGCGGCCGCGAGCGGAGGGGTGTGCGGATGCGTTCCGCTCCCGCCCCCCCAACACTTCGCGCCCCCCCTCACTGCACGTGGACGACTTCACCGCGCTGCACCAGCCCTAACACCGCTGCACAGATCAATAGGTACGAACATTCAACCAATTGAAGCCAATTGCAATCTTATTATACTCGGTAGAAAAGAAGGTAAAGCTCCGTTCGTAATTAAAATCAGGTTTAATTAACAGGAGGTTATGTTTAGTGACAATTTATGAGTCTGTCAGATGTCTTTCAGAGCCTTTCAATGCTGAGATACGAGGAATTTAAAAAAATCAGTTCGTCCCACTGAGACAGACAAAGCAAGTGGTTCATACAATTAAAGAGAGGCTTAGCAAGTGCACTCATATTAACGACGTGAAGTTTTGTGTATATATAAAATTTTAATGTCCTTGTCAATTTTCCCAATTCGTATACTTATTGACAATAAACCTAAAGCGGTCATACTTAAGACTCGTACAACATTATTCTTTATTTCATATTGTTTTGTTTGATCAACGAATATAATGCTTATGTTCTGTGTTCCAGAGGTTCTCGTCGCGGTATTGCCGTGTCTGATCGCGGGCGCTTCGCCTCAGCTGCGCCGCTGCACCACTACCGCCACCTGTGAGTTTCGCTCGCCCACCTACAAACATACCTAAAACATATCTATACTAATATTATAAAGCTGAAGAGTTTGTTTGTTTGTTGTTTGAACGCGCTAATCTCAGGAACTACTGGTCCGATTTGAAAGATTATTTCAGTGTTAGATAGCCCATTTATCGAGGAAGGCTATAGGCTATATATCATCACGTTAAGACCAATAGCAGCAAAGCACCAATGAAGAATGTTTAAAAAACGGAGAAAATTTATTACTTGAGAGACGCAGACGAAGATGCGCGGGTCAGCTAGTATGTTATATACACGGTGATTTTTAGGCGTTTTGGAAACGAAACATTTTAATTTGGAATCATCTATAGTACCAATAAAAATGATTAAATCAATTGTAATGTTGTCTAAAAAAAAGTTCAGTTTTAATATTCATTTTTACTCGATCGACTTGGAAAGTAGTAATGGATGATCATTCATTCATTATCTTATATGAATGAAACACGTCCGTGGGCGTTTCGGCGGCCGCTGCGCACGCCGACGCTAACAGCAGCTGATAAAAGTATACCTATAGGCGCGAGCTAACGAGTACTTACGTAGATAGACTCCAATTTGTCCTTCATACTTTACACGGGCTTAGGATCGTCGGAAATACCTCTTTTATTTAAACTTCTTTTCGATTATTAACCACGATTGTTCTTTTCACAACAAATCAATTTATCAACGGACTGTAAGTATAAATATTTCAAGCGTATTAAAAAAATCGGAGCTTTCTACAGAATAATTAACTTACATACCTATTTACACTATTTACACTTCTCTGTATCGAAGCAACTGCTCAAAATGGAGTCCGCTGCATTCAATACACAAACGTCCACGTTTAATGCAATTGTTTTTAATTTTCTTAATGTGTCTCTATCACTTTTCACTTAATCAAAAGCGGTCCACTATCGCAATGCGTAAATTATCACGGTTTTCATATTCCCGTTGTATAAACAAGTATTTTTATTTCCGACCATAAGAAAACTCCCTAAAGAACACTGGCCCTCCTCGACCTATCCACCGATCACTTAACTCTTTGCCCAGGTATGCACGCACTACACTCCGGCGAATAATAATTTAAATGTCCTTGACCTTGCGCGTGAGCGCGCGACCTTATGTGACTCGATATTAAAACGCCCATAGTATTTCTATTCGTGTATTTACTCTTGCGATTGAAAAGCCCTCTACTGGTTTCTTTTTTTCTCTGTAATCGATATGAATATCGATTTTGATGATAAAAAATATATATATTTTAATAAATTAAACGTTATAAAAGCTTCTGTTACTGATAAATAACTCAAAATTTTCTTTTCCAAAACGCTTTCAAAATCACCGGTATATCTACAAATAACTAACAAAACACTACAATACACCAACTACACACCTAAAAAAACATCGACAACACTAATAAAACACACTTACAATACACCAACAACACACCACAAAATACCTACAATACACCAAACAAGACACCTACAGCCCTACCCATAACACTTTCAACACACTAACAAACGCCCAACAACATACCCAAAAATACCCACAACATACCAACAAAACACCCAATAATGCACCCACAACATACTAACAACACACCAACAACACACCTACACCACACCGACAACACATCTACAAACGTCCGAAACTGAACTAACCATGTTTTTGATTACAGTCGCGGACGCGGCGCGTGGGAGATGGGCGCTTCACAAATTCGGACACTTCCCGCCGGCTCGCAGTATATGATGGGTTAGTGAACAGTTTTTATTTGTCAGACAATAACATTGTACAGAACAATGGCACCTAATTATAATATTTACCACCTAATTTACTTTTGTGTGATTACAAGAATACTGGGAAAGCTTAATTAAAAAAATCAAAAGCATTTAGAAATATATGTAAACAGCTCCACGAGTAAAAATATAAATATATACTGTTTAACGTTTTAATTTTAGTATCAAATAACTTTTTTATGATCTTACTAGATCGACACATGACATGACACCTGTAGGGAATCGATTTGGTTTTTATTAAAGTAAAAACATCTAACGCATGCTTTCGCCACGCTATGTGATACCGTGTGTATGTGTAACACGTAATCCGGTGTAACAACGCATCATCATTTATAAATTCCCTTCATATCTTTTATACTCATTATTTCTACAAAACAATTTCGATGTTTATATTCTTAATTTTATCCATTCGTTCTTTTTTCAAATAAATAACTTGAAAATGTAGCTGTGGCAATTGTATTTGTAAACTTTTAGTACTTTCAATACATTATTTATCTAAATATTTAAGGCATAATATAGTTGTATTGGTCCTACTACGCTTCGGTAACCGTCGCTTTGTCCCGCAGGTGGGATGGGTTGGGGGGGAGCGCGCATGCAGCGCGGCCCCAGGCACCGCTCCTCATGCGCGAGGGCCCCCCTGGTACCCCCCACTACCTGGACCCCTTCAATTTATCTTCCCCCCAATAATGTATATCTCACTTAGATGTCGATCAATTAAAAAGCTCTATAAACCCTGAAATGTATTTTTTTACCTGTATGTTGCCCCTTCCTATATAAGTAGTTTTTTTTCGTATTTAGGCACAAAAACACGGTTTCCTGGGAAAAACCGCTGTAAAGGGAATTCTTTCGTTCTTTCAGTGAGTGTGAAGTATCGATGGCTAAAGCCAAAAGGATCCTTTTGCATTTAAAGACGGATATCTCCGGAATAAATCATCGTAGAGAAAAATTAAGTGTGCGTTACCCCAGCAAAAAATGTCGAAAATGGTCATTTAAACTTTATAGATAATTAGTTTCCCTTCTGTAATTGTTAAGCACATTTTTAAATTTTGTTTCACTTAAACTTTTTAGTTTATTTCAAAAAAACATTTCCTGCTGGGGTAACGTTTGAAACGTTACCGCAGCCAGACATTTTCTTTTTTAATTGAAATATTGAATAAATTTTAGCTAAATAATTAGTTATCTGGACTAGGTAAATGTTACAATTATTTGGTATTTGTATTTTTTTCGGCTGCGAAGTTATTCGAAATCCTGCTGGAGTAACGTTTGTGGGTTTGCGGATCTCTGAAACGGGTAAGCGGTTTGTAACCATGTTTTGTACATAACTTTTAAGGATTATTTTTAAATTTTGTTCGACAATAAAAAAAACAAAAAATGGACCGTTTAAAAATTTATTAGGTAAGTAGGGAAAACACTTCAATTACGTCCTAACACTTTAAATAAGACCTCTAAAGACTTACTTGAAACGTTATTCTATTGCTTGTAACTACCTTAAAATGTATACGAATTTTCGTAAGAATACTGTAAGTGACTAAAAAAGTTATGATTGAAATGTAGCTCTCCACGTTCACGATCACAATGTGTGCGGCCTTTTTTTGGGCCACCGTAAAACCTGTGTGTGGATATATAAAATGAATGTTATGCCAATAATTAGTTGTTTAGTTCATTTGCTACCTGTAAAATTTCAGCGTAGTGCATATAATAATTTACGAGATAATTAAATAAAAAGTCATTAGAAGGTGAAAGACCCGTGGTACACCCCCATGTTTAGGTGGTTACAAAAAGCGATCCCCCAGTACATTGTGCTGGCTTTTTAAAATATGTAGGATATTATTTGCAAGTTACTACGGATATGTACATAAGCGTTACAAAAAATACATGTTTTTTAAATATTTTTTATTACGATTGTTTATTGCATAATTAGTAATTACTAATAATACTGATTATAACAGCCGGGAGTTTAGGCATTGTTTTGAATGCTTTGTTTTCTCGTAATGTTTAGGTGAATTTTTTATAGTTGTTCATAGAATTGGTACCCGCGTAGTATTTGTTAATTGAAGTTTAATTTTAGGGTAGGTATAGGTAATTTAAGAAATATGAAATGAAATGATAAGTTTTGAAGGAGTGTAACGTATGCGTTGTAAATAGTTATTTTGTGAATAGATGGGGATTTTTTTAAGTGATGAATCGACTTAGGCTAGCATATCGCGAACAAACTCTGTATTGCATTATTTCTGTAATAATGTTGGAGAAAATAAAATATTTGATCACAAAATCGCGGTGAGTTAAATTATAATAAAATAAATTATTTATGTAAAATTAGTAATAAGTGATTACCTACCTAAAAGTTATGATCGTTTATAATTTGTTCACCCTGAACGAAATTTCAATATTAGCATTAGTAATTAATATCCTAAGACAAGAATTGACAATTACTTAAATTGAATGGGAAAATTAGCATTAATGCTATTATTAGTAATTAGGTACACACATATTGAAGAACTCTCAAGAATACGATAAATATTTGCAAAAATAGAAAGCGGAAGCGCACACGTACTTTACAACACGTATTTATTATCTGCCAAAGGGGTCAAGTTTAGTGCACTAGATGCAAATTGCAAACAATGAAGTATCCCTTCGCCCCTCCCCTCCTGCGTTCTAGCGAAGGATGTATTATCAGCGATTCTTGATTGAAAAATATTATCTGACCAATAATTTTATCTATAAAAATGTATCACTTTCACTCGATAAATTAAATTACCGTTTTTATATCAAAATATCATTCAATAACTCTTCGATTTTAACAGAAATCAACAGCACAGGTAGGTACATAGGTATAAATAATTCTCGGTTCTCGGTATAGACCACAGAACAATATTACCTACTCTTACGAGGTATACGAGTGTTGGGCGATGCAATGTTGATGCATTCTAATTTACAACTGTATTTTTTCTACTATTCGGTCTATTTTAACTAATTGTAGATGACTTGTTGATTTAAATATTTTGATGCATTCAAAGTCTAAGCTCTATACACCCAAAAAAAAAATACAATTACTTTAGTGTTATTTCTTTACAAAAAAAAAAACCAAAGAATGAAACGATTTCTTATTGGTTTAAATTTTCGTTTTATTGTAGTCAGGTGAATCGTTTTATACATGTATCTACATATTTATAATTTTAGCGGACCAGTGCAGATTTTCTGTTGATTGTAGCTCCGGTAGTAAAAAAGACTAAATAAATTTTAAGTAAAGAAACTAGTGCCTAAGATCAATTAGGGAAAAAAACAAAATAAATAAGTAATAGGTAAAATAATGAATTTAAAAATTGAATGTATTTAACACTGTACGCAACTGTACCCGAAATTTGTAAGGTGTATTACACTAAACATTTTAAAAGACAGCGCCCAAAGTACTGGGTGATCGCTTTTTTGTAACCACCCAAACATGGTCGGATTACCACGGACTTGCACCTTCTAATGACTTTTATTAATTATCTCGTAAATTATTTTTATGTAAATACGCTGAAATTTTACAGTAGAAAAAATGAATAAACAATAATTATTGGCATAACATTCCCGTTTATATATCCACACACAGGTTTATCGGTGGAAAAAAAGGCCGCACACATTGTGATCGTGAACGTGGAGAGCTACATTTCATCATAACTTTTTAGTTCACTTACAGTATTCTTATGAAAATTCGTATACATTTGAAGGTAGTTACAAGCAATAGAATAACGTTTCAAGTAAGTCTTTAGAGGTCCCTTTTTTAAAGGTTAGGACGTATTTAAGTGTTTTCATACTTACCTAAATAATTTTTAAACGGTCCATTATTTTTGTTATTTTATTGTCGAACAAATTTTAAAACTAATCCTTAAGAAGTTTTGTACAAAAAAATGGTTACAATCCGCTACCCGTTTCAGAGATCCAGCAAACCCAAAAAACGTTACTCCCGCAGGATTTCGAATAACTTCGCATCCGAAGAAAATACAAATACCAAATAAGTTTGTAACATTTACCTAGTCCAGATAACTAATTATTTACCTAAAATTTATTTTAATATTACAATTAAAAAAAGAAAATGTCTGGCTGCGGTAAAAGTTTCAAACGTTACCCCAGCAGGAAATGTTTTTTTTAAATAACTAAAAAAGTTTAAGTGAAACAAATTTAAAAAAAGTGCCTAACAATTACAGAAGGGGAGCAACTAATTATCTATAAAGTTTAAATGACCATTTTCGACATTTTTTTTGCTGGGGTAACGCACACAAAAATTAAAATGAAATTAGGAATGAAATGAAGGTGAATAGACATCTATCTGGCCTATACCAAAATTATAATGAAAAAAATCCAAGCTCGTGGACTATTCCTCTTGAATTACTCGATAAACAGTCGACCCCTAAACATTTTTGGCCAACAGATCTGAAAACTAGAATTTTGAGCTTCAGGATGCTTTTTTGTGAGCTTCAAAAATCACAGAAAAATTCAATATTTTTTTGCTCCCTTAATTTTGCAGAAGTGTATATTGAATACACTCAAGAGCAATGAAATCCGTTTCGGTTTGTAGATAACAATCATTAAAACGTGAACATTAACTACTTGGGTAGTCAGCAGCACGCAGCACGGACCACTATCATCGATTAATTTTAACTGTAAGTTTATTATTTTTAATTGTATAAGCCATCATAAAAGTGTGACGTCACAAGTCGTCACATGACAAGTTTCTAGAGTTAGAATATCCAGTATTGACGTTTAACAATAACAAACCAATTTGATTGGTCCTTCGATCATTTGATTGGTCAGTCAAATTAGTTTGTATGTCACACATATCGATAAGAGTGTCACAAATGAAACAAATGTAGAAAATTTAGAAACAAATCAACTTATTATCAAGATGAAAAAGATCAAATGATATATTATAATATACAAGCTTAAGAAACAGATATGTGTGCCGCGAGCTGGTCGCG